AAAGGTATTAATGTTTTTCAGAGTGTAGGGCTCACTGTTGTAGTTAGGCAAGTCTTAGAAATGTGACAACATTGTTCATATCGGAAAAAAGTTTAGTAATTTTTTAATGTCCATAAAATGGTCATATGTGGTGATGATGAGCTGAATATTAACGGAAAAACTTTTGAATGAACAGCATAGTGTTCATTATGAGGCCAGAAGTTGATTTTTTTTTTTTAATTAAATCAGCATTTAAGAGTTGGATCATGAACATGAAGGTCATACATCTTGAAATGTGCTGTTATATTATGCTAGATAAAGCATTGGAACTATTCCAATCTTATTTCCTTTCTGTATTTTTTCTGAATCCCTATTAGAGTACCATGGGCAAAAAAGGAAGAGATTCAACTAGCCTACATTCTAATTTGTAAATTATACTGTTTGGTCTTGTGAATTGCAAAGTATTCTGGTTTCTCATCCTCGAGGCCATCTAATATCTAAGTGGAGTACACGATAAACTTCTGCTTCTAAACAACATTACTTGCACATTTGAAGAGAAAGATTTAAATGTTTTGTTTGACATGAGCTTAATGCTCAGCATCCTGTTGGTAGAACCTAATTGGAAGCTTCCAAAGTGGGTTTATTGTTAAATGTGGTTTGTGGAGGGTGGTGGGTTGCATTCTGCTGCAGTCAGTGAATGGCCTCCTCTTGTACCTCTAGTTCCAGAAACAAAGCCAAAGTCCTCGTGGAGAGAGAAGGATGACAGCAATAAAAAGGTGCAGCTGCATTTGCTAAAGAATACATTTACTTGCTAAAACTCTTACAAAGTAATGAATACTAGAATTCTAACTTGGGTTGCAGATCTACTTGTAACGTACCCATATTAGGAAAATATTGTTAACCTGCATTACTCCAGATAATTGCAATCAGACAGCAACTGCAATGGTATACACTGTAGGACCTCTATATTATTGCTCTATTGCAAGTCCAGTAGAACTACTGCTACTTCCTCCTACCATGTTTTTGAGCAGTCTTTTCTCATCTACTTACCAGTGAGATGATCAAGGAAACACGAGTATTGTTTTCAGTGTAGTGGTAGTTCTGTGCTGTTTGAGTATTTTAAGGTATGATGCTGGTATGTCATTCTGCACAAAATCATTAAATCATTCATTTCAAGGAGTATTTAAAACACTTTTCATGTGTGTCTCTGGATAAACATACTTTTTTTGGACTTTAATTATTATGATGATTGTTTATAAAATACAAAGTTGTTGGCAATAGCACATGAGTAACCATAGTTGTATTCTACAATTGAGGAACGGACAGCCTGAAAAAAAAAACATCTTTTATTCATAATTTTTACCTTTGTAGAGCTAGTTGATTGACTGGTTTTATTCATTACCTGGGAAAGTCATTTACATATGAACAGTACATTCTTAGGTAATTATAATAATTATTAAAGAATACCTCATTAGCTACATTGATTCTTTTGACAATAACTAATCATGAATCAACTAAAATATAGAAAAATAATACTTCAGTGTTTTATAGTGTGTGTTAATTTCATCCATTTCTGCTGACTGGTATTGCTCTTTCAAAAGCAAATCTTTAAACATTTCAGGTAGTTAAAATTTGTCCTACAGGTAGGTTGCTTAAAAATACTAAAAGATTTAGAAACGGCTTCTGCATGCAAGGGTGGTTCCCCCTTCTGTATCACGCCGGTGGCAGGAGGCTGGGCAGAAGGTGAAGCCCCCTCTGCTCCTGGGAGTTCACAGCTGGGGGAGCTCAGAGGAGGAGGCCGGGTTGTAGTCAGAGGAATAAGCATTGTAAACCTTATTTCCAGACTTCCTGAGAGACAACAGCTTTTGACTTTGTGAAAAAGTTACAGTTTTATATGTTGCTGATGATGACTTTTCAGCCAAAGAATGCCAAAAGGCATTTATTAGCTGTAGCTGCTCTATTGATAAAGATAATTTTAAATAAATACACATAGGTCTGCTTTCCAAATGAAGGATCAAAAGGAACTCTTTCAGAATGCCTGCAGAAAGTATGAGCTCTTAATTTTTATGCCAGACTTTTCTGAGGCAAAAGGCAGGGACCATTAAAGTAGTTTCGTTCTGCCAAGGTATTTATAATGTAAGTAAAAAGAAAAAAAGCCTATCGTAAAATAGAAGTGCCCATCAAAGCTTCATGAGAACATTTGACAAGCAATTTAACTGTCTAACAGTAGAGTATTTATTGCAGGTAGATAGGACATTTATCTTTTAAAATTTTTGGATGCCTTTTGTGTTAAGTTAGATATTATAATTAAATGTAACTGTGTTATTGTATTGCAATATAATTGTATGGAATGAGATATAGAGGTAATTTTAAAACCTCCTCTGTATAGTATTTAAAAATATTTTGCCATTCCTGCAGTAGAGTTATCTTGAATCAATGATTTTAATGTAGGTACATTAATCCATTAATCATATTCTATTCAATAAGAACTGAAGTAAATTTACACATCCAATTGCTTATTTATTTATTTATTTATTTTTATGAAAGCTGGGAAGGTATTCTTTCAGCTGTCTGTATTTTCCATGTTCTGGTGAGGAGACATCATGAAAGCCTAGTGTTACTATATCCTTGGCCCAACTCCAAAATTCTTGTAATTCTTGACTGTTAGGCATCCATGTTTTGGAGGCAGGGGAAGGAATAATGAACTTTTCATTAAGAAAGTATCAGGATTAACAGAGGAAAACATTTTGGTAGTATTTTCTTGATGTATCCCATTTAAAAATACTGACTTTTTTTAAGCAAGTGATAAAGCAGTACTTTACAGCTAATCAGCTATTAGAATATCTGAGAATGCATATCTAGTAGTAACAGCTCTAAAAATGATATTCATGTGCCATGAAAGAAAAATCATGTTTTTTGGGGGGTTACCTTGTTATTTGTACTGTATGGCCCTTTTAAAGGTGACGTTTTTGTTGTTGTTGGTTTTTTTTGTTTGTTTTTTTTGTTTTTCCTCCAAGATAAAGTTCTTCAACACTCATGGGACTTAAGGCTGTCTGTAGTGAATTGTCTCAGGGAGGTAGCTGAAGCGTTCTGGATTGTGTGCCTGGAGTGCCTCCTCCCCTCCTGGATAAAGACCCTCCTCATTCCAGGTCACTCTGTAAATCCAGAATTCTGGGTGGAATCGGTACAGACAAACAACAATGAGAGGCTGAGGGTGTTTTTGCTGGTCCCACAAAGCGTGTAGAGATGTAAACAAGGAATCTGGATTGCAGGTAGGCTGCTGTAGCTGCAGGGATGAATGATTCAGTTTGACTCTGGAAGCTACTCATGCAATGGATAGCTGTCTTCCAGACCTTGTAGCACACAGATGTATATTCACCTCAGCATGCATTAGAAGTCAATGTGATTTTGCCTTTAAAAATAAATGGGAATTTTTTTGTTAAAAAATTAACAAATGGTTGTTAATTATGTTAAATTACATGAATTAGTGGAATTTCTAGCTAGTCTTGCAATGCCATCCTATGTGTGCATTTGAGTGTAATAGACAGCATCAGTTTGTCTATCTGCAGTCAAAAAAAGTGAGGAAAAAAAAATCCCTACTACATATATGCTTTGTAACTTGCATGTGGTGAAAAGTACCATTTTTAAAGCAGAGGAAAATACAATAGTGCTAACAAAACAAGCATTTTGTAAACATTTAAAATTCTTTTTTTTTTTTTTTTGTAAAATCTATAAACACCATATACTCCAGCTAACAATTTGGTTACGGTTTATTGTATTTACTATTAAATACATCACTACTCCGTGTTGTGTTTACTAATGTGTTTTCATCTAATGTGTGGCTGACATAACGTCATACATTTTATGAACAAAGCAAGGATACACAGCTGCGCTATTAAAAGTTCCTTAAAATATAGTTCATGCCAGGGTCAAAAGAATGTTTAATTCTCTTGGTTCTGGCTGGAAATGATTTTTCATCCAAGATGGGTAATTCAGAAATAATTAAATCCCTTTTAGATTGCCTGCAGGCAACTTTATTATTTAACTTTATTATTTTTGTAACTGCCTGGATTCTGAGCCAGCATGATAGATCTGTAATTGTTTTCGTTTCTTTATCTGCCACTTTTATTTTTTTCTCCCCTCTCCCTACAGCAGGCATTGTCTTCATTTTGTTTTTTGCTCCGAGCATGCTGTTGGTACACAAGAAACAATAAAAACTAATCACAGTCATCAGCCACTTTCTGTAATCCTTAGGGCTTTAGTAAAACCTGCCAGCGCTGAGAGGTCTTTCGCATGTAGCATGATAGAGCTCTGCAGCCAGCATTGCATGCTGTGGTTCTTAACGTGGTCCTGGGGCTGACCTACTGCATGAATCTGTGCAGGTCTCTTTACCTTTCTATCCCTAAAACAGGCAACACGCAGAGCATGTGCAGCCTAGCTTATTCAGACGGCACGTTCTCCAAGCCATGTGCTGTTGTTACTCGGTCTAAGTTTCTCACTGCAGGGGAGGCATTTGGTGGCAGTGTCTTAGCAGGAAGATGTTGTAATGTTAGTGTAAAAATATCTTCTGTTTGGTGACCATTCCTGAATCTATTGGGGCTGTCATCTGTTGAGACCCTGTCATGGCAAAGCATTATGCAGTCAGCAATCGGCAATTTAGATGCCCATACCATTTCGGTTATGTGTTCAGTTCCATTAGATTCAGTTGTATTCACAAGTGATGAATCTGGGCAAGCTGCAATGTCTTTCTACGTCAATAGTAAAGTGAAATGTACCTTTATTGTATGCTATGAAAATTGTAGTGTTTCTCCCATCTGCAATTTTCTCTTGTTTTGGTATTTATAAACAAGCATGTTTGGTTTTACTGTTCTGTCGCTTTAAGCATGCTTTTAACCAAAAAATAAAAAATAAAAAAATAATGGAAATATTGCTTTAAACTTTTATTTCAGAGAGATTTATTTCTGTATGAGTTGGATTTACACCTGCTGTTCTGAGAAACCTTCCCCCTCTGTCTTTTCTAGCTGTCGCCCTATTAAAAATCTGTGGCCAGATTGTGGAAGGTCTGGCTGAGGGTTCGCAATCTCACAGCACCATTTGTCAACTGAAGATGAGAAAAGAACTCGGAACAATTGGATTCAAGCCTCGTTCTGCCTCACTTTTATAGCCTCTTTTTACAGTTTCTCACTGGGTCTGGAAAGAATGCTAAAAGTCAGATAATGGAAAGTAGGTATCAGAACGCAAACAATAGTGTTAAATAACTCATCACCCAATGTGAATTGATAACACTGCTCCTTGAAATTGTATTTTTGATTTTTTTTTTTTTTTGATTTTGGCTATTTATGATGGCCATGGTATAACACATCTTAGAGCAACAGGGAGAGCATGCCAGCTGAAAATCTACAACAACTAGTTATAGTATAAATATTCAGCTTTTGTTATTGGTGTAGAATGATATTGCAGCTTGCCTAAGTTCATCATGTGGGAATATGGTTGTCAGTGATCTTTTTAGTTAAGTCTTCCTCCTAAAGTATAGATTTGGCATTTGAAATGGCAGTGGGGAGAGAGCAACAGCATTTTGCCATTTGAAAGAGGTGTCATGTGCTGTTTAAAAAGTGAGGCATGTGTAACAAAGCTAGCAACTTATTTCTTAAGGGGCATGGTGCTGTTGGAGAAATCCATGGAGTCGTGTGACTACCTTTCCATAACTTGGAGGCTTTAAGTCAGCTATTAACATCTCAGAATACCCTAACTGAAGTAGATTTCTTATTTTAGTTCAGAAATTACAGTCTGAGGCAGTTTACTGACCATGTATTATCACTGTAGAGAATAGTACTGCATCCCAAAATACTCAATTTAGAACTTTTTTCTCCCCCAGGACGTGGCAGTTTTCTGGAGCACTGGAGGGTTCCACAGGAGCTGCCCCCAGATGCCTTCTGTATTGCCTGGACCTGGTGCTTCCAGCTGTCAGCTCTGGAGCTGATATAGCAGCCCTGTGTTTGAGCAGCTGCAGCCCTGGGAAAGTTGTCTTACAGAGTGAAAGGACACCCAGGCTTCTGGCAGAACTGCCAGGTGGCCTCACAGGAGGTGGGCACAAAGATTTTAGCTCTGCAACTCAGGAATAGCATGTTTTGCCAGAGCAACAGCTCATCAGTTGCTGAGATCGCTTTTCTTTTAATGAAGGTTTGGCTTCTGTCAGCAGCCAGCATAGAAGCCCTGAGGACACAGCTGAACAGTTTTCTGTGTAACACTCCTATGAAACTGAAAACAGCCTGGGGTCTGAAATAGTTCAGGGTCCTTTCCAAACCTGTGTTGATGTTGTGGGCAATATTGCAATATATATTTTATCTGGAAACAGCTGTTTCACCTACCCTAACTCTAAAAAAGGCAGTTTTAATTATAATTATATTAAAAAGTTTATATTAAAAGCTTTTAATATAAGCCTACAATAAAAGATCAAATTCTTAGAAATTATATATTTTGCATAGAAGAAATCAGAAGTAGCCAATATGCTGTTTTGTCTGCAAATCTATTAGGCAAATTTCTCAGCTGCTACTCAGGGAAGTGTGCTAACCAACTTGGATATAAAGCTCAGTTTAGTTCCCAGAGAGATTTGAAATGGGAAAGTGATGTTATTCTATGAAAAAATACAGATTTTTCAAGAATCCATCTCTTGTTACTCAAAACAAGGATTTTTTTTTTTTCAATATTCCAACATATTCTTCGCACCTTTTCTCTAGAAGTGTGTGTAGCACAATACAAAATGATGACATTCCAGCAGGAGATTTCAAAGATGGCAGAAGCAGCTTGAAGCACAGTCTGTTTATTGTCGTCTTATATCTGAATAACGGAATTAGACTGCCTCCCATTGGGAGCAATCCAAGTAGCTAGTTGAATCAAAATATCACACCTAAAGTAAAAAGAGCTGTCATTTTGAAACAAGAAATTCTACAATATATGCAATGCATTAATTAAATAAATAAATAAATCCACAATCATCTTATTTTAAGTATTGTGATTAAATCACAATAAAACAGATATTATAGTATCAGCTATCATCAAATATTTTGTTTCTCATTGAAATACTTCAGCACTTCCCTTCAAAGTATTTGTGGCATTTCCATTCTGGGAAAAAATAAATAAATAAATAAATAATCAAGTTTCATCTTAACACTGTTTTGAAAGGATTAAATATTAGGTTTTCTTGTAGGACAGTTACTCCACTTTTACTTTTCCCTTTTGTTCTTCTGCATTTTTCCTAATAAAAATTTCCATGTTTGCTCATAAACTTGGAGGTTATGTGAGGAATTCAGTGCACCAAAGGAGGGTGTGTTTTAGCTTGCAAGAATTCTGAATTGCTAGTTTAGATGGCTTATTGTTCAATGGGGAGACCAAATATATTTAAGCTACTTTGTTTCATTGTGGCAAAATAGCTTTTAAGGTTAAATATTTGTTCCTTTTAAAAACAAATAATCTGTTGCCATTGAAGAAAACTGGTATTTGAAAGAGAATTTGGAAGCAAAACAATTCAGCAACAGAATTAATAGCTTCATGGATAAACTGGAGAGTGAATTATCATAGCATGCATACATGATAGGTAGTAGGCTTGTTCAACTATTAACAGTCTAATGCTGCTGCTTTCATTCTGATAGCTACTGTGGGAATGTTTGGTAACAGAATGAGGATACAAGCAGTAGCAGAAAAGGAACGATCATGACATCTTTGGCATTCTTGGTCCTTGCTTCTAATAAGTGAACTTCTGACATTTTTCATTCATATGGTAGCAGGGTTGCAGGAGTATTGAAATAGTCTAGTGGCACATTGGTTCCCTTGGAACCATTTTCCACACAAATATTCCACTTGTTAAAATAGCAACAATAATCATCCCTTGCTGCCCCTGAATCCCATGTCATAACACACTAAGGGTATTGCATAAAAAATAGAAGATATTTATTTGAAAGGCCAAGAAGTGAACTGAGAAAGGGGCAGGATGAAAGGAGGAAAATTAAGTGTTTTGGAGGTTTTTTTGTTTTTTAATTTTATTTTTGAAAGATATTTATCTGTATATATGAAAAACAATCAAAACGGTGCACAGAGTTTGAGACAACTTTCACACCTCTTAAATCCTTTTTTGTTCATTTGCCTTTGACAGGGTATTACATTAAAGGAGGAAAGACTTTCACAGTCTTTCTTTCTGGACTGTCATGCAATAAATTAATTTCTACTTCTAGCTGATATCTGAACATCTTTACATTTGTAAACCTATCAATACTTCAGTTGTTAGAAGCCTTGTTCCATGAACTAGAATAAAGTCAACTTTAGATACAGGTAGTCTTGAAGGAAAAGGTATTGTAAACAAAGATTATATGTACCGTCTGGGCTTACTAAATTCAGTCCTGCCATTTGAAATGGTTTCCAGTGAAATTCCTCCTTATTTTTATTCATCCATCTATGTATATGCACACATACAGTGAATGACAATGTATCTTATATAATTCCAAGAATCAACATAAATGACTTATTAATTCATTATCTGTTTTTATAAAAGATGGAGCATTTTTAAATTTTATTTATTGAACACAACTGTATTTAAAAGCCCGCCAGAAAACAGATGTAGAGCCTTGGCAACCATGGGAAATCATGCGTTTCAGGATTATGAAAGTCAGTGGGACTTATGCTTAATGTAAACTCCATACCTGTATGTAATGTAGCTTGATGTGATATGTAGGTGTAAACTATATATGTATGCTCAAGTTTTGTAACTGGTATCTTGTTTACACAGCATATACGACATGAGGATATTCTCTCCACCAGTCTTTGCCTGTATTCTGAGAGTTGTCTGAGGCTTTCTGATGTAGTGAAAGTGTTTAAAAAAAAATAATTGAGAAAATGCAAAGTGTTTGATGTTTTGTTATATCTTTTTTAGAGATAAGAGCAGATAGAGGCAAGTTTACTCACACAAATCCACATTATTTACTGGAAAGAAAATGCAAATATATTACTTGCTTCAGAGAATAGCTGTAGGGAGACACTTGAGCATTACGCTATATACCCAAGAGAAGCTTCTATAAGGACAAGGAGAAGCCCTTCAGTAATGTCTGACAAAGCCTACTGAAGGAATATGAGTTTCTTGAAGGCTGTAATTTGCACAACTGTTAACAAATTACAGAAGTACGTAAGATTATGTAAGATTGATCTACTGAAGTTTGCAACTGAATGCTTTAAAAGATACAAAAATGTTCAGCTTTCAAAACTGTTTTATGTCAAAACTGTGACAAATCTATGCAGATTTTCCCCATGGAATAGCACAAGTATTTTTAAAGTGCTTTTAGAAGAACCCAAGTCATCTGTGTGAACATTCATCTGCAAATGTGTCCAGATGCTTTGCGGAGTCTATCTTTGCAAGTTCTCTTTGAACAGATAGGATAGTTGCAGCACCTTGTGAGAAACATGGGTTTTGTTTGGACTGTGTAAAAATACAAGCTTCCTACTCACTTTTTTCCCCTTCATATAGAAAAAAATATTTTTTGTTTGGATACAGCTTTCACCCATGCATTAAAAAAAAAGTTTCTGAACTCAGCTTTATGGGAGCATTAATATTACTAGACAGTAATGGTGCTCTTTGCTGTGAAGTATTTCAGCAGAAAATACTAATGCAAAATGTCATCCATAATTGTTCTGTGAGATATGCTATTTTATTTTCACATCTTACTATACCCTCTCTATTCTCTTTTTTTTTTTTGAGATATGAGAAAATCAGTTGTTTAATTGAGAGCTATGAATACAATTCATTTCAGATTCTTACTGGGATGGTCTTGCTTGAAAACAAATTTTTAGGTTGAACATAGGGATAGCTTCACAACTTGCAAGTGGGTTTATTTTTCTTACTGTTTCACCTCCTGCTTCCTATTCTTCTTACATACTTCCTATTCCTACTCTTACATAGCCCTGTGCATAAGGGATCAGAGACTTTAAGTTTGGATGATGAGTGCTTTCTGTGTGCTTTCATGCACGGTCAAGAGGACAGTTTCATTTCTGCGTGAAAACTGTTTTCTGTTTAAGTCACTCCAAACCACTTGCCTTATAAGGCTCTGAATTATTTCATACAGATTGTTTTTAGATAAATTTGCCTTAATTTTGAAACTTGTTTGCTTATCTAATTGTGCTGTAGGTTATTGCTTGAAGACTTGAGGGTACTTTCTTATACAAGTCTGTTATAATGAGCCCCGACTCTTCTGAAACTTAAAACAGTCAGGATCCCTCAAACATTATGATAATCTTTTTCAGGACAAAAAAAAAAAAAAAAAAAAAAAAGTTAGTAAAGCTAACTCCCTGATAATTTCAGGGGGCAGAACTATTCTATAAGAAAGGAATTAATGTTTCTAAGGAGTGCAAAAATAACACAATCTACTTCTTCCTTTGTGCCAATTTAAGTTTGTTTTTTTGTTTGTTTGTTTGTTTTTGTTTGTTTGTTTGTTTTTAAGCAAAAAGTGAAAAAGAAGAAACACATGCAAAAGTTTAGTGCTTACTGATTGTATTGAGAAGGAAACCAGGCATACAAAATGACAGGAACTTAAAAGGTTTCAGTTCACATTTTAAGAAGATAATACAAGGAGATGCATGCCCCTTATTAACTACATGCCCTTTCAAGCCAACCTAGAGTCCTTCAGTTTCCTCCTCATCCTCATTCCACCTGCATCTCTTGGGGGGAAAAATACAGAGCTGGACTCCTGCTTACATTGGGGATGATGGGGAGTTTCAGTTTGTGCAGAGGCTAAATGCTCTGCACTTCCTTCTGCAGGAACAGCATCACCGGATCATGAAATGAATCCCTGAGCCTGTTTTTGAAAATCTGGCAAATTTCACATTGGAATATGCATTATCATTATCTAGATACCTAGAAATGGAGTGATGCTGTGAGGTATGGCTTCCACTAAGAGTACACACATTTAGCATTTCAACTGCACTTACTGTATGTGAAGTTCAATTGATCTGGCCTAACATGGCATAAAGGGACAGTGATGCTTTGCACCAAAGCAATGTTTTCTTGCCACTTAGTGTTTTTGATTCCAGCAAGAAACCTTGAGGAAAGGTTACCATCATTTTCATTTCTTTGTCAGTTGAGTGAATTATACACACAATTGCATGTATTAACATCTATATTCAGATACTAATCCAGTAGTGTGAATTTTTTCACTTTTTTTTTTTTTCAAATTGTATTGTTTTTCATTAGAAATACTTTAAAAAAGTTTTTACTGTAAGTTTCTTATTTATATACTGAATTACCACTGTCTATCCGTACTTCATGTTATTTTGTTAAGCTGGAACAGTAAAACTGATTTTTTTTCTCTTCTCTTAACAAAAGTATATTTTCCAGAATCAACTTCCCAAACATATTAGTTGTATTTTTATGATACAGCTTACCATTTTAAGAACACTTCAGTTGCTCTGCAGTATTAAAGAGCATCCAATTAAATTAAGTTGGCATCAAGGAATATGTTGTGCTCCTGCAAAAGGAAACACTCTCACAACTTATAGAGAAATCTTAATGTCAATGATCACTTTGCTTACGTATTTATCCTAATTATAAAACATTTTCTTATTTTAAGTGAATCTTACATAACATTCAAAGTGTCTATTTTACATTTCAAATTGAAAGCTTCTCTTCAATGTAGCTCTCAAACTATAATATTCAAAAGCATAAAAGGATTCTACTTATAGAATTATAGAAAGTTTCAAGATATATATTTTGAACTTCCTTTTGTTTCCTTTAAATTGTTGACATTACATAATAAATTACATTCTCTTGCCTCAGGGATGTATGCCTTAACAACGCAATGCCTAACATTCTGTCTTTATTGTTCTTTCTTTGCAGTTTCCAGGGAGACCAAAGTTTAGGACACAATCTCAGGATGAGTTCAGAGTGTTCACTTCATCAAGCCGTGATAATTGACAGGGTTGATAAACTAGTAAGGAGAATTAGTGAACAAATAAGGATAAGATGAACTAGATGAGTGTACTGTGTTTGTGAAAAATTGAATGAAAACATATAGAAAACAGCTCTTCTTCAGTTGCCTAAAAACAAAATTTTCAATTATAAATGTAAAATATAAACCAACATTTAGTAAACTTTCCTATCTCACCAGAATACTACTATATTCATTAGGATGTGTATTAAGAATATGTCTGTCTTAATTTTGCTGTGTTGTACAAGCTTCAGATCACATTCCCTGAATCCCACAGGAAAGCACTGATTCTGTAGTTCAGATCACCATAGTCTGTACCACTGCTTCTGCTATGGATATTTACATAGCTCAAAGCAAAAGGCCTTGAACAAAGAAAGTAACAACACTTCTATAATCCACAAAGTTTGCAGTAGTTAAGGGGCATGAAGTTCATCTAGCTTTTTTAGAATGAAGACATATTTCATTTTAAGAGCTTTCATCCTAGCAGCAGCTGTGTGAAGCTGGGCACTATAATGGTGTAGCCTGTGGACGAAAGAAAGTAACATTAGGGATGCCCATACATTTGAGTGCTTCAGAAATTTATGGGGTAGGTTGGACAATTTGAAGATTCAGTATCTGTAATGTCTTATCTTCAGCAGCCCTTCTCTGGGGGAAAGCCTTTTTGTGGAGTTTCTCATTGTCTAGGCTATTCTAACACTGAATCCTTCCTGAACTCTCTAGTGTGGGCTTGCCAGGGTATCAAAAGAGGAGACCTAACATGTTCCTATAAACATTGCAGATTCTTACTTTATATGCTCTGGAATGTTCAGAATCATAGCACAGGAAGTTCTGTTTTATATCTCTGGATTATCTAAGTGTAAATTCACAAAGAATAGCTATGAATGGGACCCTGGGAAGTCATTTAGATCTTTCTGGTCCCTAACACTTCACAAAAGGAATGCAAGTCCACATTTTTGTTATTTTGTCTTTTTTTTTTTTTTTTTTTTTCCCCCTCTAAATAGTTACTGTTGCAGACCTGTACATATATATTTAGTTTCTAAGTGACTTGGCATACATTTTTCTGAATTATGAAAATAGTGGCTGTATCATGTGAAAATCTGCAGGAAATCTGTCTTAGATCCAGTAGTGTTGAGTAATTTTGTTAAGGAACTGAATGATGGAATAGATGGTACACTTATCAAGCTTAAGGCAACAAAAAGATGGTTGGCACTGTCCTATATCTCGAAGCCTGAGTTAAAATTCAAACTTGTCCTTCATTTTTTAATGTCTTTTCTCTCATTTGTCAATTCCTTAAGTAAGAATATTTTTAATAAAAATTAAAAAATGAAGAACTTCACAGGTTCACAAGATGGATATGACCTAGTAACATCAGGCTGACATTTGCTTTATATATAAAAGACAATACTTGAGTATTGTCTTTACAATACAATTGTATTTTACTCAACAGTAGTCAGGCTGTGTGTGTTCTAGGAAATTAAATGTGCCAGAGGCTGTCACAAAAAAAATGCCACAGGATGGCAGATATGTCTGATAGCAAACCATTATGCCACTAACTACCTTTCAGAAGAATATGACTAGATCTAGACCACATGCCGAGAATTGTTTCTTTCATATCTTTGAGAATTATTTTGAAAAAATGGTAGTTCATGTTGGTCAAACTATGACAAAGGACCATTCTAACAATTTAACAGTATAAGAAATTAAATTTCACAGCCTGAAAGTATTTCCTGGAAGTGTTTCTTTTACTAGTACAAACATAAGCATTGTCTAATACTTTCAGCGATGGGTATCTCAATGCAGTTACATAAGACTGAAAATTCACAGGCAGAACCAGAAATAATAATAATAATAAAGATATGCAATAAAATGACTTATAAGGAGAGATTGAATAAATTGCAAGAATTTATCCTAAAGAGTT